GGGGATGTTCCAGAGACTTGATTTGAACCTGCAGTTTATTCTATCACTGCTATAAGCCTGAACCAAGAACTTTGCCATTACTGTATGTAATTGATTCCATTTAACCAATTCTAACTCTCATCTCTGTCTTTTTCCTTTTATGAATAAACCTTTAGATTTTAGATTCTAAAGGATTGGCAACAGCGTGATTTGTGGGTAAGATCTGATTTGTATATTGACCTGGGTCTGGGGCATGGTCCTTTGGGATCAGGAGAACCTTTTTCTTTTACTGGGGTATTGGTTTCATAACCATTTATCCCCATAACAAGTGGCACTGGTGGTAATACTGGGAAACTGGAGTGTCTAAGGAGATTGCTTGTGAGACTTGCAGTTAGCCAGTGGGGTGAGACTGAAGTCCTCCTAGTCTGGCTGGTTTCGTTTGCCTTAGAGGTGGAAAAAACCCCAGCCTTGGGCTATAACTGCCCTGTTTGAGCAATTTGTCCTGAGTTGGCACTCTCAGTTGCGTTCCACCAGAACCGCATTGTCACACCTGCTCCCGGCACTCTGGCCGCCGGGGAGAGTGGAGAGCCCCAGCTGGGCTCTCCGCCCTCCTCCCGGCGCTCTGGCTGCTGGGGGCTCTCCGTCCTGCTCCCGGCGCTCTGGCCGCCGGGGAGAGCGGAGAGCCCCAGCCGGGCTCCGCCCTCCCCTGCCACGTTGGGGGTGGGGGCGGCAGGTGGCTTTTCTGCCTAGGGCAGCAAAAAAGCCAGAGCCGGCCCTGGCCTGCCAGCCAGGTAATGTGCAAATTTTCAGCTGCTTCCAATTTCAAGGCTCGACTCTGTCTTAAAGAGAGACCACACGAATCCAAAGAGCCTGAGGGTGAGAATTGGCTTGCTCTCCCCTACATCTTTAAGCATTCAGCCATACAACTGTTCTGCTCTGAAACACCAGTAACCAAATCTGTCCTCAGACCCTGAAGCACAGACTACTCACACACAGAATTAGCACGGAGACATTCCTGTTCCAACACCATTGTCTTCCCAACAAGCTGGCCAAACACAGCCACTTCGTTATAGGGCTGCTCAACTTTCTTAACAGCTTTTACTCCATCTGAGACCTTCTCAGAGCTATCCACACTGGATCTTTCGAAAGGAAAGTCAGTGGATCCATTCACAACAGACAATTTCTGGCTGTTAGGAACTGAAACTTCCTGGATTAAATCACTTTTAAACCCTTTAGCTGTAGCAAGCTGCTTGCACAGATTACCATGAGGATTCCTTTCCCTAGGAGCTTTTCTAAGCCACCGTTCCCCCATCACAGAAATTCTGCCCTTACCCTCTTCACCTGGGGCTTGCTCTAAAGGAACACTTCCCTGAGAAACAACAGACTCTTTTTGGGTCTTACTCACATCCGTGATCACCTTCGTCCCATCAGGCAGATTTCTACACAGTCCCATTGCAGGCAAATTTATAGACTCATTAGATAAAAGGTCAGAAGCATTCTCCTTCCCTTTGCCACACACACAAGTTCAGGAATCTTTTCCTTCTTGTTACAAGTTGTCAAACCATCAGTGGGTAACACAATTAAATCACCTTCTTGCTCTCCTTGTGCCCTGGCTAGGATATCACCCTGATTAGACAGAGTTGCTACATCCTTTTCCAACCACACATTAGCAATAGGCCAAATACAAGCACCAGAATTGTCTGGTCTCTGGGATTTTGCTAGGACACTAACTGGATGCAACCTAGTTCCAGTGCCATTCTCCCCAGCGGACACAAACTTGAGACCATTCCCTTCAGGGCTTTAGTTGAATCCAGAACCAACTCTGAGACAACTGAATCACCCTTGACCATCACAGTCTGCTTCACAGACAAAGAAGAGCCCGGAGACACCTTCTCCTTTACCAGACACATAGCTCGGGATTTCATTTTCCTTGTCCCAGCGCACAGGGCTGTTCACAGACAACTGCTTGGAGACTGAGGTAGCTTCCTCCATAGGCAAGTCAATACCCCTGACAGACACAGGCACATTTCCTCCACTGTCACAATTCTCCACACAGGTAACAGGTAAGGTATAGGGACATTCATCTTCCCCTCTCCTTGCCTTCCCAAACTGCTGACTAGACAAAGCCATCAGCTCACAAGGCTGCCTGGGCTCATCCAAACTTTTCTTAGGCCTTGGCTACACTTACCCGCTAGTTCGGAGGCTGGCAATCGAACTTCTGGGTTCGACTTATCGCGTCTAGTCTGGACGCGATAAGTCGAACCCGGAAGTGCTCGCCGTCGACTGCGGTACTCCAGCTTGGCGAGAGGAGTACCGCGGAGTCGACAGGGGAGCCTGCCTGCCGAGTGTGGACCAAGGTAAGTTCGAACTAAGGTACTTCGACTTCAGCTACGTTATTCACGTAGCTGAAGTTGCGTACCTTAGTTCGAATTAGGGGGGTAGTGTAGACCAAGCCTTATTCTCCTCTCCCTTCGCTTGATCTAATTTCAGATTTGCTTCTGAGACATTAGACAGACATTCAGAAACTTCATTCACAGCCAAATAGCTCTTCTCAGACAAACATTTGGAGACGCCCTCCCCAGGCAAATCATTGCCCATAACAGACACAGGTTTAAGATCATTCCTTTCCTGTGATTGGCTACCTGGACTGAACAGAGCTTTAACATCTTCCCCAATCAAAAGATCCTTAGGCAATAACTTCCTTACACCAGCTATATAACTTCATGCTTCGTACCATTCCATTCAAGGTGGATTCTGGCTAAAGGCACACGGACAGTAAACTCATAGAGGACATCAACATTCGCACTAGGATTTGGTAAGTGATCTTCCTCTTTGACAAGATCTGCTTTAACAAGAGTGACGTTAGAAGCCATAATTTGCCCTAAACAGCTTTTACCATTGACTTTTACACTCTCTCTGATTTTTTCATTAACACTCCCATACAGAGCACTGGCCCAATGTATGGGGTCACCTTCTACTGAACTCACAGTAACGGCATTTACATAAAAGGTGGCAGCGCTGGGGTACATTTCGTTACACCCAGACAATTGCTCAGCGTTATACAACATACCAACATTGTTATCAACTGGACTTTCAGGAGGATACACTTTCTGCTGTTCTTCCCTTGCTTTTTGGACGTGGAGCTGAAGTCAGACCGTGTCCTGTTGCATCTGGTGAGTCTCCTGTTGCATCTGGTGAGCTTTCTCCTCAGCAGCCAGCAGCTCCAGACGCCCCTTACGAGCTCTCTCTTCTCTCTCATCAGCCTCCTTCTTTCTTTGATCAGCTTCTCTTTCTAATTCTGCTATGTTTTGCTTTTCCAGCCATCGAAGATCTGCGAGCTTCTGTTCATGCTCAAGTTACAGTTTATTTGCTGCCATTTGCATTCAAACTTTTTCTGCATCTTCTGTAGCCTCAGGTAAGGGCTGTGCTCCTGCCTCCGGATCACTGGCCATTAACATATCTCTCAGTTCTTCATTTGTAGCTTTCTTTCTAAAGCTTATCCCCTTTTCTGAACACAAACCTTCCAGGGCTTTTTTATCAAGACTTTCATATGCTCTTTGCTCACCCATTGCAACTGCTCTTTAACCCACCAAACTCTCAATCCCAAAATTCAAATTTGGATAACGTGGGGTTCTGACCCAGAGCTTCATTGACCTGGTTCTGTGGATCCTGCTGATACGGCATTGTGACGGCGCTGCCCGTGGGACCCAGCTGAGGTCACTCGATCAGGGTGAACTGCAAACAGAACGGGGCAGAGAAACCCCAAACGCTGGTGGATCTTCCAATACTTAGATTTACCAACCAGCTCCAAACAGCCTCTGTGTTACCTCACTGGTTACTCAGAGTCCAAACAACGCAGTCCCCCTAAAGTGCCCAGCCTCAGGCCTCCGTCCAGACACACACGTCAGATATGATGATGATTACTGAAAATCTGATCTCATCATAGAAAAGAAAAGGTTCTTCCAACCTCAAAGGATATAACTGGACACACCCAGGTCCAATTATAACTTAGATCTTACCCAAAATACACACTATAGCCAATTCTTATTAACTAAGCTAAAATTTATTAAAAAAGAAAAGAGAGCGTGCTGGTTAAAAGATCAATATACAGACAGACTTGAATTCAATTCTTGAGCCTGTAGTTGCCAAAAGTCCTTTTAGAAATAGTCCATAGGTTATAGTCCAATGTCCATATTCAGGATGACTCCAGTCAATGACTGGGGACCTCAATCCTTATGGCTGAAGGTTTCCCCCTCTTGAAACCCAAAGCAGATCTGACATGAAGCAGGATCATGTCTCAGGGTTTTTATACATTTCCAGCAGCCTTTTGGCCTGAGAAAACAATAGGCTCAACTTTCCTTCTTCCAAACATCCTGGCAATTAGCACAGGGTAATTTATCCATTAAACAGTTCAGATCCAGGTTACCACAACCTTCAAAGAGACATAGAGACAATGATACTATTTCCCTCAAGTGTCTTCCTAAATGTTAATATTCCTTTTTTGATCTTTGAATCAAAGCTATAGCAATAGACAAGACTTGTTTGCTTACATCACAAGCCCTGAGCAAACACCTCCCCTTCTACCTCTAACAATGCAGCCTGCATTTCAAAGCTCTATTCATTTACAGATCTTCCTAACCAGTTTCTAAACTCCGGCCATGGGTCAGGTCAGTTTAATTAACTCTTTCTGGCCCTGTCATCTGTCAATGAGATATTATATTACAGTTATAACACACACCCCTCTCCCGGAGACACCGCCCTGCTCCCAGCCTCAGCTCTGGGGGGGCAGGGGAAAGGGCGCAGACAGGACTAAGTGGGGTGCGAGGTAAAAACTTTGGGGGTAGTTTCACTGGCTTTCAGCCCCCCACTATAAAATGTCCCTGCCCCACAGACAGCCCTGGCGCAGCCTGGAGCGTTTCTGCAGTACCCGCAGCATCAGGGATGTCTCTCCGGCGCAGAGCTGGTACCAGAGCTTCGCATCAACTGGCCTTCAGCGAGCTCACGTGGGATGCCAATAACCCGGGGGAGGTTCCATTGTTCTTTCCATTTGCTGAGTGCCCATCCCCCGTATCTGGGCAAGAGGAACTGGGGGGGGGAAGAGCTGTGACTCCAGTTTGCTCACATCCCCCACCCCCACCCCAGTTACACCTGCAACCGACACTATTCGTTGAGTGTGTGACCCCCGCAGACCCTGGTCACCCCATTGTGGTGCACACACACAGCCAGACAGGCTCTGCCCCCAGCAGCTCCCAGTCGACAGAGAAGCCCCAGGCAAAGGGCCAGGCCGAACCGAGGGGATCCGGCGCATGTCAGGCCCTCCCCTGCGCCGGGCATGGAG